GGGGGGGGGGGGGAGAGAGAGAGAGAGAGAGAGAGAGAGAGAGAGAGAGAGAGAGAGAGGTAAAAGCAAGACCGGCTGGCAAATAATAGGGGCAGTTGTGGCAACTGCAAAGCAAATTAGAGGAAGCCAGCCAGACTGAACCAAGCCTCGTTGGGGAATTTTTTTTTCATGAACTACACTAAATACGAGGGGGTGTCCGCCATGCCTACGTGCGGCGCAGACCTGCTCCTCCTCATCCTGACCACAGCACAAAAACAAAAGAAATTGTGGCCAAAGTTTGGTACAACTCGGTCCTCAGCTCGGCCAGGTGGTGCAATGTGAGCTGAGTGATATCATGGTTATGGATGATACTATGGAGGCTGGGGGATTTAATGTGGACTTCGCAGTACCATGTGGGGTGGTTCATACTGTGTGGACTTGATGGTACTAACACACACAGCCATTAGACACGCGCACACACCCAGCCATTACATACGAATGAGTATCCTTAAGAGGACATACAAAATACAGGAATATACCTCCACCTTTGCTCTGCCTTCTTTCATAGTGTACAAGTGGGCCGTTTTGGCACACGTGCAAGGAAGATGAGCAATAGCGAACTTCAGCAATCAAACAGCATCATATACACCAGACCAGATAGTCATGACCTCAAACCAACAGCAGAATTGCATCACGAGTTTCACCAAATAAGAAGACCCCAAGAGCTCATAAATTGACAATACTGGTAAAGTCTCATCATCATCATCAATGAAGAACCAATGTTGATATCCTATGTGGCGCTCGGCGCCCAGACTACAGATGGCAGATCCTATCTAGCCTAGACTACAATGCCGAAGATGACGTCAACAGCTTTCCTGAAGTACGAGCATACAGCGACCAATGTCGCACGCTTCCAGCACCAGGTATGTGTTATGAACTTGGTTGTCTGACGAATTTTATCGCCACTCACACACAGACAATCTCACACATGCCCATACATGCATAAGAGAAGAGGAGAGAGGAGACAGAGTCCAAACTGCACACAGGTGAAAATAAGCAGCGGAAAGCAATCATGCACAAATGGGGAGAGAACACACAGTGTTGCTCACTCTCTGACACAATTCCCAACAACCAATCACAAGAAAGAACCTGCGAAGATCACAATTGAAAATGACACTGATGATGAGCCACTCAAATCATTATCGTAACAGAGTTTGTTCCAGTATCTTGCCACTCTCAGAACTCACACCCCACTCTCTATCCTACACCCAGTTAGTAGCGCCACATCAGAACAGCCTCCCAGAGGCTAGCGCCAACCACCCTGATGAAGAACAGGTCCTGCGATGAAGTCTTCAGTGTCGATGGACAACTCGGACGAAGGAACAGGCAGCTATGGCTGCCACCACCCACGAGTACACAGTGTAGAGCCTCGGTATAGCCCGGCCATATGCAGAAACCCCCAGGGGTAGATGCGCTGAGGATGCCCCAGCTATGGCAGACTCAGGCTGGGCCGGCTATGGCTGTTGTCAACGGCGAGTCTCAGGATGCCGCCTGTACATAGATACTGCCACCAACTTGCTTGGCTTCTCCAACGCTGCTTCGCGAGAAATGAACTGCCAAAAGTCCTGAACCGATGGGCCTAACCTATCTATAGACTGCCTAGACCTAGACCGGACTGACTGACCGACCGGTACCGTTGCTCTTTCGGCCTTTCGGCCTCTACCGGACCCGGCTATAGGCTATAGGACCGTCTAGCAGTATAGGCCACTTAGGGCCTGTCTGTCCTAGGGGTAGCTCGGGCCTGCTATCAGCAGTTAGGGTAGCTGTAGAAATTCGGGTTAGTGCTGGGCCTATATTTTCCCAGATTTGCAGATATGTCCCTCACGAATTTCCTCACAGATAGGTCTCTCGGTTAGCCCTCAGCCAAACAAAATTAGGAATCTAGCCCTACCGGTTAGTATACAGCCTCGCAGTCAATCTCGGCAGTGGAAATCAGCAAGTCATTGCAGGCTTACCCTCCCCGGGAGCGAGGACCTCCGAGCTAGGGATGCAGGCGAGGTGAACGGGGAGGAAGGTTGCCCTTCTGAGCCGCTTCATATCGCAATACAATGGACTTGTTGTCTTGATCAGGTCTCTTCTGTAGAACCATCGGCTCTCAGAAGGAGGCTGAAAAGCAAACCTGACAAGATACTGCCGATCGAGGCATGTGCCCCACTCATCCTCAATCCGGTCAATGTCATATCCCTTGCCAGGGATTGGCGGACCGAACTGAGGGGGCCAGTTTGGGAATGCATCAGCTGGAGTGAAAGGCAGCAGCTTGGATGCATGAAAGACCGGATAGGTACGTAGATGCAGCGGGACGTGGATGACGTACGACGGACCGAAGGGATCAGCGCCCACTGTATCTAGGACCTGCCACGGACCCAGGTAGCGTGGCAATAGCTTGGGGGAGATATCCTCCTCCCTCGACAGCTCAGAACTGGCCACCCAGACATGATCACCAGTGCGGATGGGGGAAGGCTGCCTGTTTCGATTGGCTTGTTCAATCATAGCCTTTTGGGCTTTGAACAAGTTCGCGCGGGCTCTTTCCACATCTAAACGATAACGCCTGGCGAAATCTGCTGTGCCTGGTGTCAGATCAGGCTTAGCCTTGTCGATGATGTCATCGAGAGACTGTCGTGGTTCACGTCCCCAGTGTAACCGGTAGGGACTGAACCCTGTCGAGGAGTGGACAGACATGTTATACATGAGTTGTGCCCTCGCCAAGTGAAGATCCCAGTCCTGTTGATCTGGCGAGATGACAGGACGCAGCAGCTGGAATAAGACTTGGTTCATCACTTCAGCCAAACCATTGGCTTCAGGATGATGACCGAAAGTCATGTCCAGTCGTGAGTGCGGATAGTCCCTACAGTAGGACTGCCACTCATCGCTGCAAAATCTGGGGTCCCGGTCACTGACTATGGAAGTGGGCGATCCATGGTGTGTGACCCACCTCTCAGAAAAGGTTGTTCTCACAGCCGGTACATTAGCTACCTCTGGCAAGGGGATGAACTCTGCGTATTTGGAGAACCTGTCCACGTAGACCATAACCTGATGCATGTCGCGAGGGGTGGTCTTGCTTAAATCTGTAAAGTCTATCAACACAGATTGGGCAGGGCCATCAGGTATGGGTAAGGGTTTGAGCAGTCCCAAAGGAGGTTTACGCTGAACCTTGTTCCTTTGGCAAAGCTCACAGGTGTCCACATAACGCAACATATCACTCCGCATCTCCTTCCAGAAGAAGCGCTGCGACAGGGCTGCATAAGACTTTAGGAACCCAAAATGTCCACGGGCATCATGACACTCACATCAGCAGTGTCCTGAGCCGCTGGTCCTGAGGAATGCACAAGCACTCCTCACCTCTGTTGCAAGTGTACAGCAGGTCTGAACTCAGAGCATAGCCTGGTTCAAAGTTAGGATCTACTTGCAGATTCCTGACAATGGGCCCGAAAGTCTCGTCCTCAGGCAGTAGACGAGCAATGGTCTGACGGGTCTCTTCTCCAAAGGAGTGAGTAGAGGAGATCAGCGCAAAAGAGTCAGGCCTATGAGAAAGGGCATCTGCTACTTTATTGTAGCAGCCCTTCTTGTGCTTCAGTTCAAAGTCAAACATGTCAATGAATTGAATGTACCATGCCAATTTGTCATTCAACTCTCCCTGGGACTTCATCCACTGCAAGGTGGAGTGATCTGAAAAGATCTTGAAGTGCCTGCCCAGGAGAAAGTGCTTCCAATGTTTCAGGGCACAGACAAGAGCATAAAACTATTTCTCGTAGGTAGAGTCCTGGAGCTTTTGAGTCTTGATCTTCTTACCCATGAACTCTACAGGTCGTAGACCATTCCCATCATTCTGCTGAAGAACTGCCCCAATGCCATACTGACTGGCGTCAGTGGTCAGGATGAATGGCAGAGTGGGGTGAGGTAACTTCAGGACAGGCGCACGAGTCAAGGCCTTCTTGAGTCGTGTGAAGGCCAACTGACAGTGGAGGGACCAAAGAAAGGGAGTGTCCTTCTTTGTTAGGTTAGTCAGGGGTGCAGCCACTGCAGAAAAGTTTCTGACAAACTTTCTGTAGTAGGAGGCTAGACCCATGAAGGACCGGACATCCCTCACTGTCTGAGGCTGAGGCCACTCCTGAATAGCAGCAATCTTGGCTGCTTCAGGAGCCAGGCCATCTCCAGAGATTACATGGCCCAGATAGATAACAGAGGGAACTCCAGAAGAGGACTTCTCCTGGTTGATCTTATACTGGCTGTCACGTAATGATTGAAGAACTAGAGCCAAGTGCTCCGCATGTTCCCTGGCAGTTTTGCTGAATACCAGGATGTCATCCAGGTAGACAACCATAAAGTTGTCCAGGTAAGGCCTGAAGATGCGGTGCATCTCTGTCTGGAAAGTGCCTGGGGCGTTGCAAAGTCCAAATGGCATGACCAGGAACTCGTAGGTCCCATGCCTGGTCTTGAAGGCTGTCTTGTAGACATCCTCCTCTGCCATCTCAATCTGGTGATAACCAGATTTGAGGTCGACTTTGCTGAACGTTGTAGAGCCCTGCACCATGTCCAGTAGGTCATCGATCCTAGGAAGGGGCTCAGTATTCTTCCTAGTGATCTTATTGAGACACCTGTAGTCAATGCACATTCTGAACTCGTCGTTCCCTTTGGGTACAAAGAGAACAGGTGCACCAAATTCAGATGTGCTGGGTCTGATCCAACCTTTGCTGGTCAGGTCTCAATTTCTGAGCTCCTCAAGCTCAGCAGGGGACATCCTGTAGATGCGGCCCTTGGGAGGGACCGCTCCAGGCAGCAGCTCGATGTGATGCTTGGTTGGCCAGTTGGGTAACCCAAAGGGCTCCTGCGTCAGATCAGTGTACTGGTCCACTACCTGCTGTATCTCAGGAGGACAGGAAACAGGGGGAGCATCTGTTTGCTTGACCAA